TTATTATTATTTAAATTGATAGGACCATAAGTCGACATTATGTTAAGTTTGTAATTTGTTAGATACGTGTAGCAGAAATGGGAAAAGAATCTTATTCTTATATTTAATTGTGTATAACGGACTCGCTATAATATAGCGGACTTCAGTATTGGACTTTGCTACACGAAATCCGTTATATCGTGATAAGTTAAATTAAATTAAATGTTCGGGCAAATCAGTCCGAATCCGTTATATAACTGTTTAATATAACAGTCCGATATAATGCGTAGTAAAAATTCCGGAACATACAACATCAGTAGTAGGTTAGAAATAGGAATGGAAATAACCACCGCTATGGATCAGCAAGTGCAATAGTACGTTCCTTTCCGTTGATGGCACATAGATAAACAAGTAATGGATAGAATAGCATACTGCGCGTCAACCTTCTTCCCTCTACTCAAATATCCTATGCGCGCACGCATTGTACCATCAAATTCGATGACCGTTTTCCTCGTAACACAATTCAGATCTTAAAATGAATACAGTAAAACCTCCATAAATGCAACATAAGTGCAATCCTCCCTCCCCTCAATGCAATATTTTGCTCGGTCCTAAGCATTAGGGCTTAGTGAATAAATGCAAACCGATTTTCGAGTCCCGTTCTCCGTTCTAGTAGTGATTTGTGCAAATCACGTGAACACAAAGTGTTTTACATCACAGTCCCGCACAACGGTATATCCATCGTGAGTTGATTTTTTCTGACGCAATGACAACAAACGTGTATTTGTCTTTCGAGAGGAAGATATCGTTTTTGAACTCTTTATTTAGTGGAGAACACGATAAAGATGATAGTAATATAACCTCAATAGTGAGTGCTAATGAAGCTTAGAAACATAAAGACGTTTCTAATTCAACAAAAACCAGCAGTTATTAAAAGCTGTTAATGGTTTAGAGAAATTTATTCGCAAAAAACGGAACAGGAACCAAAATTCTCTTCCTTAACTAAATTTTTTAGCGGATGCTGAAAAAAAAGAAAAGGAATGAACCGAATTTAATGAAACAAAGTAGCGCAACACAATACTTAATCGGTGATATTGATAGCCAAATTTTTTATGTAGCTTTAACTGGAAATTATAATCAGGCGAAATTTGTTTGATAGACGGGCAAATAGTATCCCTTTCTTATTAAGGAATCCTCCATAATGCAAAACCCCATAAATACAACATAGCAAAGCGTTGCATTACGGAGGTTTTACTGTATATATAAAAATTGTGGTCCGGGATTTATATGGTGACGGGATTTATATACGACATACACACAGTAAACATGAACGAAGTAATCCGTTCCGCTATTTTTCTCCGTTATAGCATTTCGTTATATCCAGGTTTCTGCTTTACGAGGAAGTTCGGTCTACCTTCGCTGTAAAAGGGTGACAATTTGCTATTATGTATTACCGCAAATTTGAACATAACAACAATAAAGGTAGACTAGAAGCAACATTAATTTTGTTGAAACGCTTGTTTACGTGTATATGACTAACTTGTACAACAATCACTAATAGTGATGCCTGCATATATGTATTCCAGGTAATCAAAACATAAAGTCAACGTTTTCATCAACTACAAAAGGACACTACCTTTCAACACCCAAAGATATAGCGCCTTCCAAATTAGATTACATACGAAATCGTATCCTTTTTAAATCGAACATCATTCGTTGTCGTATTAAAAGTTTTTATTAAACATGTTATCAAAAAATAATTAACCATTGATTGATTTTTATGATACGTGTTTGTACAAATAATAAATACAGACGTAAGTAATTGTAATGTCATGAAATATATCTTCTGCGGTTAGTCAGAAAGAACAGAAATTTCCCAATTAACTAAACAATCTATTACGTGCAATTTTAACCATACTAGCAATTCTGTTCGTATATTAATATGCAGCAGCGATATTTGAACCGTATTCTTGACAAGCGTTTTATGTGTGACAATCGATGCATTAATTTCGGCCAACCAATTGAAGATCACCCCTGATGCCATCACCCCTGATGCCATAACACCTGCCGACATATTAATATCTTCATCATCAAACTTTGACGAAATGAATGATATTGTTGATTTGCCCTCAGGTCTTTCGTCTGACTTTGAGAAACTTTATGAAAGTGGCAAATATACGGATGTTTCAATTCATGTTGGAAAGGAGCCAAACAGCAAAATATTTCTCGCTCACTCTTCAGTATTATGCGCAAGAAGCATATTTCTTGAGAATAGTTTAACGGAAACATCTGAAAGCATTCAAAATGCAGTCATAACGTTCGAAGATGTGGCACCAGAAGTTTTTGAAGTCTTGCTTAGGTAACTTCATATACTGTATGTAAAAAGTTGCATTATCAACAGTTTCTCAGGGAGATGTCTTACTTACTATTACTGCCAACATAATGGTTATACTATATACAGGTTTATCTACACTGGGCGAATATCCTATAATTCATGCAGGGATATCAGCTGGATTAGCCTTTTGAATGGAGTTAACATGCTTGAGCTGTATGATCTTCTCATTGCAATTGAAAAATATTTGATCAATGCACAGACGGAATGGATTCAGCAAAATATCCTTACAGTTCACAAGTATGCTCTATCCGCGGCGGGTTCCTCAAAAAACCTACTGTCCTACTGCAATCGAATTATGGCTTCACACCCAGACATAATTCTTAAATCGAACGATATTGCAAGCTTACCCAAAGAGACTTTGATCAACTTTCTCAAGAATCCTGACCTTGGTATGAGTGATGATGATATTTGGATGTCAGTTGTACAGTGGGCTGTTAAACAATCTCCTGAACTCGACAACGATCCAGATAATTGGTCGTCTAATGACATTAGCACTATTAAAGATACCATAGCTGACTGTATACCTCACATAAGGTTTTTTAACATTTCTCTCAAGTCCATTGTCCTGTATGATGACTTATTACCAAGGAACTTACGCCGGGATATAATGAATCATTATGCTGAAAGGAACCATAATAATAAACCAAACATGCCACTACCAGAAGAGTGGTGTACTGATTCAATCATAATTAATGAACAACAAGTGGAATGGATCTTATCAAAGATTGTGGAATCAACAAGAACATCTAGGAAGCAAAACCATGTTTATAAATTTAATCTACTTTACAGACAAAGTAGGGATGGTAATACAGTGGAAAAATTTAGAGAACTGTGTAATAACAAAGGACCTACAATTGCTGTTGGGAAAGTATCAGGCACTGAAGAAATACTTGGTGGATACAATCCAATTTCATGGGGTTCCAAAGGTTATGTTCACACTGAAGAAAGTTTTATATTTGCATTAAATAAAGATAGTTTGGAGGAGAGTATAGTAAGTTTTGTTGTTGATGCTCAACATGCCATTCGGGATTATGAGAATTTTTGTCCTGTTTTTGGGATGTATAGTAGGTTTTTTAATCGTATGGCTGATTTACATTTTGGTACACGTTGGTCTCCACCTCATGCTGAGAAATATGCATATCAAGTTCCAATAAGGCATTCATCAACTATATTTAAGTGGGCTGACTGGGAGGTGTTTTCTGTTTCAAAATAAGTCTTGGATTGGGCCATATAACAATTGTCTTTTTATACAGTTAATAAAATTCATATCTATTAAAGCATACTATCAGTTATGTGTTTAACTTCCATGTGACTCAAATTGATTACAGAATTTACTAGGTGGACTAATATGTTGAATGCTAAAAAGTTATAAAAACTTATGTGTGTTATGAATTGGTTGATAACACACAAAAGTTTTGGGTCCGGTTCATTTCATTGACAGTACATTTCGTCGACAGTCATTTGACTAAACGTAAAGCTTGTGTTGCTAATTTTTATTGTTATAATAGGAATCGTAGAGACAATGTAGAATTTACAAAGTTATATCACCCACTGTTTCCAACATACGCGATTGGGTTATACATGTGACCACTGCAACAGCAACATCAACGAAAGTTTTATTAATACCGTATATCGAATCTATTTTTGATTGCACTACCGATAAATGACCGTTAATATTAATATTAATTTAACTTGTTAAAAATTGAACTTGCATATTTCATACGGATCAAATTCTAGATCATTTCCATGCAAAAGTATGTTTCTGCCATGAAGATCACAATGCACAGAACCTACATGATGGATACTATCCAGATAATTTGCAGTATTCCATAAACACTCTAATTTCATTCTCCATGTCTTGTTTAATGTTTTTGATCCAAGTAAGACAATATATTCCATAACAAAATTTCTTATGTTTTAATATAACAATTTTTAAATTATATCGCATGTAATGCACATTAATATGAAAGAAGAATAGTATGTAATGAAATTGGCCCTTTTGTCATCAATTCAAAGTGACTTTAATAGTAAAGGTTATGCTTTCAAAATGGCAAAGTCTCTTGCGCATACAGCAGAAATGTTGCCAATTGGATTAGGAAGAACAACATAAAAATTCTACCTGATTGGCCGTCTCAACCTCCTGACCTCAATCCAATTGAACACATTTGGAATAAATTTGAAAGGCGTCTGCAAAAATGTCAATGATTTGGATATTGCTATGAAAGAGGAGTGATCGCTAATTCCTTATCCAATTAATTGCGACCATGCATGCCAAGAAGGCTTGAGGTATGTATTTCTAATAATGGATGACCAACCGATTTAACCAACAGATACTAATAAAAGATCAGCGAAATTAATTTTACTGCTTTTTTTATTGCCCACACGAAATCAGAATGCTTCAAAATTTCGCCCAAGTAGAAAAACTCCGCCCGGATACTTTCTTCCAGGATGTGTAAATCGAAAATTTTGAAACAACTATAAAATTACCTTGCAGGCCGAATATTGATCGAAATAAATGGCGTGTGTTCGACAAAATACATTGTCCAAGTGCTTTACAAAACATACGCGATTGCCCTCATAACTGCTAAAATAATTTATCAAACGAGGACGGACTAACAATTATGTTTTACAATCTGGTATTGACAAACATTTTGTCGTATGCGATGTTGTTTACATTCACAACGTATTCCTTTAAAAACAATTCTAATACAAGCTGTCTCTGTTCTATTGCTACAACTTTCTCGTCAGCCGAAAGATCTTTTGATAATGCAGAGCCTGTAAATGGGATATTGGGACTTAGACTGTTGTGCAGGACGGACCTAACTCTGTGACGGATGTACGGCAGATTTTGGATCAGACCCCATGGACTTATTTCATTTGTGCCTGTAAAGAAAAAATGATATAGTACGTGCAATAATACATGGAAGAAATAAAAATCTGTTTACATACCGTATAAGAATCGGTAAATAGCTATTGCAATAACGTATATACCACCCACATTGCTGAGTACATCGATTACTGACAAATTGCTAGTATTAAGGAGTTGACAATTAGTAATGTTTTGCGTTTCATTTGAGTCATGTATACTCACGTGATTTCGGTTTCTGTTTTGTCGACATAAGATTTGGGGATGTACAAGTAGTTTCCGTAAAAGGCGGGGTATGATACTAAAAGCAAAATGTTTGATTTATAAGTAGTTTCTCCGATAAATGTGAAATTTGTTATTTAAGCTACCAAGAAAGCCGTCTATCATTGTTATACGCGTTTCCAAAAAATATGTTTGCAGCATTTTGATTTTAAGGCGGTTGACTATTTTGCGTTCGTAATAAAAAGCGTATGACTAATTATGTGAAGTTGTTATTGTTGGCATATTGTGGAGCTGCATATAAAAGATAATATTTATTTTATTTATCGATCTAACATGTTAGAATTTGTTTACCTGGTTTGCTGTTGTCAGCGTCTGCCGTAGCTAGATAATTACTAAATCCTTTTAATTCTGTTTCTAAAAATGTTAATCAGAGAATTGCTTTGTTAGCATAGCATAACGGTTTTGCTCATGTAATTTGTGTAAAATACAATAATTGTAACCTTTATCAATAAACCACGCTTGCAGACTAGCATCGCCGCCAGTAAAATTTGTATCCACTATAATGACCTCAAGCTGATGCAATAAATTTGTTTGTTTTTATCAACGTTCTTATCATCGTCACACAAAGTTTAAGTCAGATGCATTAAATGTTGTATAGTAAAAGCCGCCAAAATCTTGATTAATTTGGTCGACATCCTTATTACAATCCGTCGTTTCTAAAAATCGAATTACCATGCGGCATATTAATTTAATAATGCTTAGTTAATAAATGTACAAATAAAATTGTTATTATTGTTATGTTTATACATATCGTTATTAAAATAATAAGCTACCACACAATTGACAGTAATAGCAACCGAAAGAGAGAATAATCATCAATATTAAATTCAAAAATGAGTTTAAATTATTAGTAGAAATGCTACATACTTGGATAAAAAATGGCGACTTTTTGATAAATTAAGGTCCTCTCACCTTGACACAGTTTAAAAAAGATTGCCACGCCTATGTAGCAAATCGATAAAAATAGTAGTCTCAATGTTCTAATAATAGTGAGCTCAGAATGACGCGAAAGAATTTTGTCGGTAATAAGTTTTTTTATTGAGTTCATTATTGTAAAATAAAAACGGGAAATGTAATTTTAAATTGCAGAGATCAGTGAATTGTGTAAACCCAAAGTTGGTTATTTTATACTCTTTTGTTATACAAGGGGCAATTGTGACTAATTGGTAAAGAATACGGATATTTATAACTTCGACTTTGCATACTGTTATAAACTTGACGTTGTGTAAATTTATGTTATTGTCAGATTATTCTCGTAAAACGTTAAGCTTGTCGATCTCTATACTAATTCGATTATTGAGTTTACAATTACACGTGTAACAGGTTTGAATCTTTCTATTATTGCCCTGGAACTAAGGGCATCGTTCGAGTAAGAAGTTTTCAAGTACAAAGCATTCTCGACACTAATAACCGATGCGTGTGCGTAACGCTTAACTTCTTTTTCCAGGATCCTACCATATTTGTATTTTGCCAATACCTTACCAAAACTGTAAATAAATGGTTAATGAAGACGGACACGACACAAATTATGTTTAAACCAAATATTAGTATGATGTCTGACCGTGAAACCATCTTACATGAAGCCTAAGCTCTCGTACAGTAACCATTCTATGCAAAGGTTAATGATAATAAGATGGACGAACTGGTGAATCGTATTAGTTCCACACTCGAGGGCGTGGCGAAATCAAACATACCACCTCTTGTTGGAGGGGGAAGACGCTGCACTAGTAGATAATCAATCACAATTGGCCGTTAGTCTCGTTACAAGCGTGCCTTGGGGAAGTTTGATCTTGAACTGTTTAGATCCAATTTCAAAAGTATGGAGCTATACCATGCAAATTGGCCCGTGATGATCGCCACGGTTTGCGGAGAGTTCCTTCAATCCACTAACGTGAGTGCAGTTATAACAGTGTGCGTGTCATGCCATATCTATGGGAATCATCGATGAATATTGGGGCAGGCATATTTTCTCTATCCATATGGTGTTTCTTTCCTGCTGCCAGCATTTGTAATCACACTAGTCAAAGCAAAGGTTTGGTTATGATGCATATGAAAACTGCGCTTAATACATGACGCACTATATCCATTTTTACATTCTACACGGCGCATTCTTTGTGGCGAGCGGACCAGTCTTTAAAATGTAATTCTTTTCTAGAACCTCACCGCCCGTTCTCTATCTTCTTTTCTTGATCTGAGGACACTTGTATTGTAGATAGCCCAGCGTTTCTTTTATCGGTAATATTCAACAAGATCCGTACTGCTTAGTTATGTCATGCATTATCATTAACAAGCGGCGTATTATCCGGATGATCAATCGTTTTTGCAATGTCTGTAGGGTACTTTATGTGGTCCTTGTCTCAAGAGTGCTTCTCTCCGTCTGAGTATGATGGAGGAAAACCTTGGCATTTCGTAATTAGTACGTTATTCAGAAAGCAGTTTGGAACAGGCGAGATAAAACAGGACAGACGTAAAGTTTCCTGGAGAGCGGTTTATGGCATATTGACCCAGCAGATGTTAGGTCAGAAAACGATGGCGTCCGAGAGCGGCGTAGAGTTTTAGAAAATCAGTTTCTATTAGATTCCCCATTGGTTTTAAAGAGAATACGCAAAGAATACCCGAACGGAAAGTTGGATGTAACGTTTGCTGTCGAATCGAACACGATTTTTTGACTGTTGGGTCCTAACGGTGCTGGTACGTATAATAGGAAGAGGGAGGAGAAGCTTTACATGTTTGTTTACTTGACTTCGATAATAATTTCGTTTCTGCTTTAAACTTAGGCAAAACAATGCTTCTCAGCATTTTTGGCTGGTCTCTATCCAACAACAAAAAGCGATGCAATTCTCATCAATTCTCAATGGCTTTGATATCAAGACCCAAAGGGAACAAGTCTATATGAGCATAGGAATATGTCCTTAACATGATATTCTTTGGGATGATTTGACAGAGTGGGCGAGCAAGTTGCTGTCCTATGCTTGTCTCAAGAGCGTGCCTTCAAGCCAGGAACGTGTAAAGGTGATAGAATCATTAGAACGCGTGCGTCTAGTACCATTCGAAAATCGCCTTACTCGCGGTCTTAGCGGTGGTGAAAACGTCGTCTGCATTAGTTGGGGGATCCAACGGTAGTCTTTTTGGATGAACCCACCACCGGACTTGATCCGGAAGTTAGGATCTGGAATATCATCAACGAGGCGAAAATTGGATGAACGATCATATTGACCATGTATTCGATGGAAGAGGCAGAAGTTCTCTGTCAAAATGTTAAGCATTATGGCCCAAGGAACGTTAAGATGTATTGGACCACAATTAAGACTGAAGGAGAAGTATGGTCGAGGTTTTAAATTGAGCTTAAATTGAGCTTCTCGGGTCAGGCGGCGAACATGGGAGAAGCTATTGGGTATGTTGGGTATTGTTATGCTATGGCGGAGTGTGATGATAAATACAGATTTAGTTTAACTTGACTTTTGATACTTTTCTTAGCTTCATCGAGTCATTACTTTTACCAACAGCAAGAAGGCTTCCATTATTTACCACAAATGTAACTTATGAATTCTCACCAGAACCTGGATTGATTTCAAACAAATTGAGCGCAATAAAAGATATTATGGTGTGGATGATTGGGGTTTGAGTCAAACAATGTAAGTTTTACACATGTTTTTTTTTTTTATATTAAAGAGAAACTAACTGTCGTCCATTCTTTGATCCCAGTTTAGAGGAAGTTTTTTTGAAGATTATCGGGGAAGATGGAGCAGATGCTGAATAAGTTTTCGGATACGTGCCAATGATTGGGGGAACTTAATTGGTTTTATTTAGACTCTTCTACAGACATTTTTAGATGTTTCTCTGTATAATATTGAATTTTTAAAATGATCTATTTTAATTTAATACAATTGATGTAATGTATGCTAATTATTTGTCTAATAATAATGTTTTATACGTGTGTCAGAAACAAATTGCACTCATGTCATTGCTCGTTTGTCAATACGTATCACTAAATTAATGGTAATAAAAGGTCATTTTTCATAAATCGATATGACATTTGAGAATTAACAGACTCTCGGAACCGCGTATTTCCGTAATGGCTGGAATGTTTTCTTTAGTCTTTGGATCACATGGGCTATTCAATGGCGAGTAACTTGTTACTTGTAAACAATTGTAAAAACGTACCAATTTTTTATACTTAGGCTCTATTTCTCATGGCCAGCCAAAGATGGTAAAGTGGTAAAGATGGTCTACAGAAAAGTGTTTTCGCGTTGGTATACATTCTATATTATAATTAGTTATAGAGTATTTAGCCGCCGCTGTTACCGTTATCTGCAAACCCTTGAATAATCCGGCTGTAATAATATCGTTAATAAAGTTGTCCAGAAATATTTGTTTATTATTGGTCATAAATCAAAAAATCATACTTACCATTATAATTACCTGAAAATTAACCCAAATAACCGTGATAATAATACAAATTATTACGGGAAAGCTGTATATGACGAAATAACGCGGTGAAAGCAGCGGATAAATACTCGATTATAATTTTTGGTAAGTATAATTTTTTGATTAAATATATACAATATTATGAGGATTTTGACGAAGATTTAATTATGATTTTATGATTTTTGAAGACAGAAAGTTTGCCGATATTGGTGCGGTTCTTGTTAATATCGTTTATGCACAAGTG